CCAAGGCTTATGTCTTGTTTGTATATTTTAAATTCTTCCGCCCTATATTATTTTGAATGTAATATAAGTGGGCGATACAAATCGTATCAGATATGAAATCTAGATATTAGTACAATATCCGAATATCGCGTACTGCCTCGTTCAATATCTATGTATTTTACAATATCTGATATTTCCGAAATCTGATATACCGAATACTCGCTCGCTCACTATACCGATACGAATCGCGATATCCTACGGTTTGCCACAATATCTGATTTTTAAACAGATTTCGAGAGACAAAGCGCGTGAGATACAAATACTCACTAGTTAGAGCGGGACGGCAAGCAATGCACGATATCAGATATCGAGCGACAAAGCGCGTGAGATATAAATACTCACTAGTTAGAGCGGGACGGCAAGCAATGCACGATATCAGATTTTTAAACAGATTTTGAGCGACAAAGCGCGTGAGATACAAATATTACACTAGTTAGAGCAGTGCGGAGAGCAAGGCACAATATCAGATTTTTAAACAGATATTTTGAATAAGTTAAGTAATTTTGAATCTTAACGCCATGCTAATAAGATCCGTTTCAATTAAATACTAATCATGGTATCAACGATTACTACAACGATATTATTAAGTATATTTTTATTGTTTTGTTTAGCCTTGAGCCGTAACGGGCGACAAAGCGCGCAGTTAAGTAATTTTGAATCTTAACAGCATGGAAAAAACATTTTTAGTTGCATTTAAATACGAATTACGATATTAACGATGTCTTTAAATTTTGTTTAGCCTTGAGCTGGATTGCATTGATACCTAGCACGTAATAGTTAGGGATGCCAACTTATTACTTAAGAATTTTCTGCCAAAATTAAGGAAGAAAAATATAAATGGAAATGTTTTAGGTGGTAAATTTTTTGTGAATATTTTTATTAGTTAAATTTTATTCATATTTTTTGGAAAAAAATAAAAGTACACAAAAAGAAAAATATAATTTAATAGTGCTGTGCTGCTTGGGTGGAAATCAGATCAAGGCTTATGTGCTTGGTGTGTGTATATTTTAAATTCTTCTGCCCTAAGTTATAATACTGAATGTACATTTCTTTTTTTCTTTTCTTACACAAATTATAAAAATATTGTCACTCATGATTGCGTGTTCTAAGAATATGTTAAAGTCTATTATTAAGCGATATATAAGATGTTAAAATAAATCATTTTTATGTTACTTCAATTTCTATTTTTTAATGAAATTTTTAATTTAATCAGGTAATTTTACCTTAATAGTATAAAAAAATCGTGATTTAAAATTCAGTAAGTCTTTTGAATTTAGTCAATTTAAGTGGGTTTTCGAATTTATTTAGAAGTAAGCTTTTTGAACAGGTTGTATATGGAATGAATCAACTTTTAAATACGCCTGCACAATTTATATTCATAATGAGTATAAAATATCGTTAAAAACATTTTTTTTTTTTTTTAGAATTCAATGTGGATGCGTGACCGTAAAATATCTAGATATTAAAATACATAGTTTCGAAATCTGATATTTGAAATCGAAATCCGATTCAGATACGGTACTCAGAAAAAGCGATACGACCATCTCTAGAATGTAATATTTCTTACTCAAAAATATTGTCACTCATTTTTTTTTATGAATTTAAGGTGGATACGCGAACGTAAAATATCTAGATATTAAAATACATAGTTTCGAAATCTGGTATTTGAAATCGAAATCTGACTCAGATACAGTTTTCAGAAAAAGCGATACGAAATACGACCCATCTGTTAAGATTTGAACGAGTGAATACTTGATAATTAGAAGACCTTATCGTCATGTAAGAGTCTCACAAAAATAGAATGAGTCAGGTCCGACTCGGGGAAGACCTACAATAAAGACTGCAGAAGCCTAGTAAACACGCGAAAGTCAAACGATAGCGTGCTTTATACTATACACAGCGCCATCTGGTTACAGCAAAAATAAAGTGACCAGTTTCAGTATCAAGTGTTATGAGTTACAATATCAACCGATATAAATGACGCAACCTGTCTTTAGTCATTAATTATAACAATATATATATGATTTGATTAAATAATTATAACGAATATATTAAATGAGAGCGTCTTCTTCTTCTACCTAGCATTAATCCCGGATATTGCCAGGGTCTGCCTTCCTACTTATATTCTATACATCCTTCTATAATGCGATCGAAGAGCTTCATGGCACATGATTTAAATCCAAACACAAAAACACCACAAAATTTAAATCCCCGTGTAACTACCGCAATCTTGAACACTGCCCCTTCCTTTGTAAGGTGTAATAAAACTGAAACGCAACTGATTAGGCATCTTTCCAGTGTTCAAAACGGTATATACGGTTGAAGAGATCAGTAAACACGACCACACCAAGTGAGACAAACGATTTCCACGCTTCGATCGCTATGTCGTCAGGCCCCACCGCTTTCCGGTTCTTCATGCGGCGAAAACATTCCCGAGCTTCGTCAGGTGACATGGGGGCAATAAGTCCGAGGTTAGGGGGATGTTTGCGGATGGTGATTGTTTAATAACTCCAATAAGTAGCTTCTCCAGCTATATATACTTCACAATGGCATGGTTGCACAGCAGCATACCCTGGGTCCCTTACGCATAGACACTTTGTGATATCTTGTGTCGCTTTAGCCCGGGAACTTTCCAGTATGTAATATGTACATGCAAAAGCTCATATACAAACTGGCACGCAGGGCATGACATTTCCAATAAATATGTATCATCTATGCTAGCACCGTTCCGTGATAAAATTTGTATAATAATAAAAGACTTGATAATTATTCCCATTTATTTATCATCCTACGATTTAGAAGTGCAACGTAGAATGCCTAAAGTTTATGAATTCATCCGAACTTAGATAACGTAATAATTAGGGATATTCCGATAGAAGTAAATACGAGTAAGCACTCTGTACTTTTAGCATCGAAACAATTTTACTCGCTTGGCATCATAATGAACGAAATGAATGTTACTTTACAATTTCTGAATGCAACATCCCTGCTCGTACCCAGAAAGAATTCGTGAGTATCCGTACAGTCCAAACTTGACATATTTTCTCTTACCCTTATTCAACCTAAGGTACGATCGGCACGTAATTTTTTTTTCTATGACTGGCCGCCGATAAACGCTCAAGTCCGGAACAGTCATCTGTGTGTCACAAACACGGCCCCCTGAATCAAACCTACGACCCCAGCACCTAGGCCAATAGCTGAAACTGCCCCACCGTGTCATCCGTATCAGAAAGGTTTTACATTACATGGGACAGGAAAAAGAAAATGGTCTCGTTGGCAAAATATAAAATTTATTTATTGCAATAAACAAAACAAGCCACAATCGGACAAATAATTTATTAAACACACGTTCATCACAAACGCCTTGCACACACAAACAGCAAATCTAAAACGACATCAACATCTAAGACTAGCAATTTTACAATGTCACAATGTATTGTGCAAAAATAAATTAACTTATTTAAATATAAAAAACTTACTTTTTTGGTAAAAATAATACTTTAGTGCAAATACACAGTCATTAATTTAATGATTTGTTGTTAAAAAAATATTTTTGGCCATATCAAGGCTATATATTGTTAGATTGGAAGGACATTTATCAAAATTGAAGAAAAAATAATAAAGGCATGACATGAAGAATACTTTTAAATTATGATATGAAATAAATTTCAATCAATCTGACAAATACAATCAAACCAATTTTAACTAAAATATGTCAAGTAGCAGCCACTTCCCCACTTGTAAATTTCTCTGTAGCACAGAATTTATTATTCAAATAAAATACTTAGCAACTTGTTTATTGTTCAATTATAAAGCAGATCACAAAATATAATTCTTGTCATTCATTTAGCAAAATGTATACTGAGATTAATTAAACTTTCAAAAGGCGAAGTTTGAAAATCAACAGAAATAGCAATTTGCGAATGGATAAATTATTCCACACATTTCGAAAAAAACACAGCTAAGTGAATGCAACGTCGCTATTTTGTTTTAATATAAGCAATCAGCTCAAAAGCAGTATTATAATATAAAATACTTTGTAGTACTTTTCACTTCTAAAAGTTTTTGATAATGCCAATTGACTAAACATCAAATAGTGATAAATGTAAAGTATTGCTCATTATCTTAAAATAGCTGATAGAACTAATTATTTGATACTTGACACATTGTATTTTCATTTAAAAATAATTTGCATGTTATTACAAATTCTATTTTCTTCCAAAAAAAAATATCACTTACAGGGTTAATACAGAAACAATATATTTGGAAGAATAAAATTTTAAAGTTAAATAAAAAGAAAAAATAATTGCCTAATACAATACTTTTGCAAAATTTTAAACTGTCAACAATTGTATACAAATAAAAAATCTATTATCATGAGCCTTGTACAAAAGTAAGTAAACAGTGCTCTTAAAAGAATATCAATCAACTGTTTGACTTCTAATGTCAAAAATTCACTCAATTGTTTAAAATCAAAAATTACTGATGAATCAGTATTTATTTATTATGATTTGACTATAATTTTTCTGTGGCTCTAGCGTGGTTTAATTTTATTAACATATTCGGTTTGTTTTTATAAATATGGGAATGTATTTAACATTGTATAAATAGTGTATTAAAATCTATGTTAAATTATAACATATCATTTAGACCAGCTAGTTTAAACACAAAATAATGATACATTAAATTTATCATCTTCCAATAAGAGAGAAAAAAAAGGACAAAATAGTCATTTAAAAATTAACTCAAATTGGGGTTCATCAGACTAGACTTAATGGTGAAACAAAATAAATAATAACAATGTTTTTGCTACATCAGAAATAAATTATTAACACAATAAAAATTGTACTGTAAAATTGTACATTCGATAAAAACGATTTTGGTATTGGGAGCAATGATATAAAAACTTGTGATGGTCAATGGCTCATTGCAATTAATTTTGTCAGTACCTTTATTGCCTACTCCATCTCTTGTATTGTTCGCTTCTCAACGCGTCTTTGTTCATCGACCTGAAACAGTGAATGAGTCCCATTTCACATACATGAAACAGTGAATGATATTATAGTCCTATCTAACACTCAATATTGAGAAATTGAAATGTGACTCAATGGCACAATTGCTAAGTTTAGCTTCGGCACAAGGGGTCGTAGGTTCGATTACCACACAGGACAGGTATTTGTGTGATCCAAGTCGGGGGACCCAAGGCAATGAAAGGCAAGAAAAAGGTTGATAAAAGGCAAGTAAAAAATAAAAACCTAGCCAGTATCACTAATAATGATTCACATATTGTGCCAACGCCGCTTGGATGATGACGACAGAAGAAAGATTGTGAAATTATAATGTGTTCACTTGTATTCTTTTTAAGCAACATCTGCATCAGTTTAAAATAAAACCGTTTAAAAACTTTTAAGTTAAACGGTTTTATTTTGTTTTTTTTTGTGCACTGAAAACTACAATATTGTATTGTCATCTAAATTAAATGTGTGTACCAAATTTCAGATAAATCTGACAGGGGGAAGGTGCTTAAATTTCAATTTCTAATTTTGACCCAAATAAACAAATAAATTCCGTACGTGTCGAGCTAAATAAAACCGTTTAATGATGGTTCCTACTCACTAGACACCTTCTCTCTTGCATAACTACTAATCATTCATTGTTTTTACTGTGACATTTTATCAGTGGTAGGGCCTCGCAACAACTTTTGCACGAATGGGCAGGCGCGTCGGGGGAAGCCAAAGCCGCGGTCTAACAGAAGACCGGCATAAAGTATTAAGCTTTCGGGTTTCGTCTGGTGAGTGGGATGACCGAGGCCCACATTTCTAAAGGTCGTCAACGCATCCGCAAGCTATCGCATGCTGTCCATGGCTAAGTGAACATCGCGGGCGGTGTTCACTTAGCATCAGGTGAGCCGCTTGACAAATTTTCGCACAAAACGGAAAAAAAATAGTAATTCCGTTCCACACTCACGTCCGGCTCCCCTAGCAGGGTGCTCGCCAGATACGGCGCCTTGAGGACCCCCCTCCAGTAGAGCTTCTCCAGCGGCCTGTTCACCGACCAGCCGGCGCAGCGGACGCCGATCGACCTCCAGTACTGGACCTCGCTCCTGGTGCGGAACACGGCATTAGACAACCAATCAACTGTGGTAGGGCCACGCAGCAGCCTTGGCTGTTGCACAAATGGGCAGGCTTATCCGGGTAAGTATCACGACCTCACAGAAGACCGGAAATATTGTCATATACTTTCGCGTTTCGTCTGGTGAGTGAGGAGCCGGAGCCCAATTTTCAAAAGGTTGCCAACGCATCTGTAACCCTTGGGTGCAGCAAATGTCCATGGGCGGCTGTATTCACATAACATCAGGTGAGCCGCCTGCTCGCTTGTCAGAAAACCAACCGATTGGGAAAAGATAGAGGCACCCTTTGCCTTAGAGGGCCTTTTGCGCCAGAGGGTGTGGGTTCGATCCCCTACTACTGGAAAAATATTGTGTGTTGAACATAGCGTTTTTCTAGTGTCTGGATGATGTTTATATATATATATATATATATATATATATATATATATATATATATATATATATATATATATATATATCTATAATAGTCATTAAAAAAAAGTATTTTTATCAGTTATCTAGTACCGATAGTACAAGTGTTGCTTATTTTAGCGGGACTAGAGAATGTTGTGAATAAATGTGTCCGCAAATATTTATTTATTAACAATTCTATTATGTTACAAATACAAAAATGCAAAAAATGTTTTCGCACTCGGAGCTTTCTAATGCTGAGAGTCATTCGTTACTTCTGATAATTCATCTTTATTTATACAGTCCAGAGACTGTATAAAGCATCATCGGGCACAAAAGCATGTGCCAAGGCTAAGTCTCCAAGGGCTTGATGGAGCTTGCCCAAGAGACGGAAAGCCATTTCAAACTAGGAGGGAGGGGGGGGGGGGGGCGGGACGAGAATCCACTTGCTTACCGTATACTGCGCAATGACTCGAAACGGATTAATTATATCAGCTTCAAGGGGAATAGGGAGGTGGGAGATTGATACGTCATAACTGGGCCTTTCTGGTCGTGCCGCAGCCTAGTGGATAGTTTGCAAAGACCCCTCCATACTGTCCCTGTCCACCGTTTCCCGGCATTAACACACACACACACACACACACGCAAAGAAAAATGGCGCCGACGGGCCGAAGCACAGCGCGTTCGAACCCCAAAAACCGTCAACTCAAGCAGTGGAGAAGCACTCACGGGCTGACTATGTCCTTGTGCAGCAGCACAGCGCTGGCGCCGCACCAGCGCGCGCTCAGCCGCCACAGCAGCGAGTGGGCGGCGTCGGCGGCGCGAAGCACCGAGTGCAGCAGCGGGTTGTCGCCGAACCTGAAGCCGAGTGTTACACACATTACATAAGTGACGGTCTGTACACATCCCACAGCGGGGCAAACACCTCTTCTGTGCAGAGGGAATCGGGACATAGTCCCACCACGCGGCCCCGCTGCGTATTGACGGACTTCACGTCTTCCAAATATTTTTTGTTATCATTCCGAAGATACGCAGGTTTTTCCTCACGATGTTCTCCTTCTCCGTTGAGCGCGTGATAAGGCAGCACTTTTTTTATGAAAGAATGTAACGTGCTGGCGGTTCACCTCATGTGGAGGTAAGTGATAACCGCCGCCATTGTGGACAGTTTCAACACCCGTAGGGTTGCAGATGCGTCGCCATTTCAATAAAGTGGGCCCCGGTATTCTCACTCACCATACGAAACGCAGAAGTATAACACTTCCAATTTACGCCGGTCTTCTGTGACGTGGCTTGTGGCTTACCCGGACCGACCTGCCCATTCCTGCAACAGCGAAGACTGCTGCGTGGCACTACAACCAAAATTAGTGTTTACAGGTCCCGGACAGGATAGGTGTCTCTCAATTTATCAGGATTATATATTTTTTTGAAACATAGAAGTGTTATACTTCTGTGTTTCGGCTGGTGAGTGAAGTTACCGGAGCCCGCTTTATTAAAAAAAAGGTGGGCAACACATCTACAACCCTAAGGGTATTGCAAATGTCCATGGGCGGCGGTTATCACTTAACAACTTACCATCAGGTGAACCGCCAGCTCGCTTGCCACCTTCTCACATTAAAAATGTAAAATTGTAACGTGTGATTTCATCACTTCGTCTAAATTGTCGTTTTTCTAAAAACTGGGCTGCCTTTTCGAAAGGTCGAATCAAAAAGTTGAGTTCATTTGTTGGTACTTGTCAATTTGAGATTGCCGCCGGTTCGAATTGTCATTGGATAAATTAGTTTTTGTGGATCCATTATCTTCGAGTGGTAAGTGGTTACTTGGTTTTGTTCATGCCAGTGGTTGTTTTGCTTACATATTTCGTTTTCTTATCAATGCGCTCTTTTACAGTGCATGGCTAGAGGTTAAAAACAGAACACGTTCCTGGTCGTATTATTTGTGATTGCTGTCTGGGAAACTCTGTGCTGGATTTGTTATCCCTCGTGGTAAGATCCTTCGTTATTTTCACTGGTTTCCTACTAAAATTGTAAAAGACTTGCATTGTGAATGTATTTAGAAATCTCACATGAAGGTAGGTTGAGAATTTATTGTCTCGTGTTTCTAAGTATGGTTTTTCGAATATCACAGGTGGATGACTGACTTTCTCTACTGGTTCTGAGCTCAACGCTGACCTGTGCACACAGGGCAGGTGTCTGCGGTGACATAGATTTTAAATAACTACCTGATTGGACTTTGTTTTTAAATTGAATTGCATAAGTTTTACCATCTCAAATTAATTTAATTATTTAACCTTTTATGGTCGCACAAAAGTAATGTGTAGGTCCTATGTACTCACGACTCCCTGAGATACTTAATTGTGATTATTACAACAGTACACACAAGGCGCCCAACTTATTATTATTAATTAATATTTTAAAATATATTGTATCTGAGCTAGTCCAGGAATTGTAACCTTAAACTGAACGGATAAATACAACTTCTTAACTACTAATAAATCTTTTATAACTATATCTATTAAGAAATACTATTAATATATCTATTAAGTCTTCCCATCATTAACTACACTCTCATTTAAAACCTTACAAAATCAATAAAATTGGCAATCGGGGGGTGTATGCTCTGCCGTCGCCAGAAAAGTCGAATATCTTCTATATATATATATATATATATATATATATATATATATATATATATATACGGCGTAGAGAACGCCGTCCACTTCCATCTTGAGACGGCGTAGCCGGCCTTGCTCTTCCTTACCGAGACGCAGATATCTTCTCCAGTTGACACCTCATTCCTCTCCTACCCGGGGTACAAACTGGAACATTCCTTTGTGCCGCGGGCTGGGGTGTGCGTGTACGTCAGAGAGGATATATGCTCTCGTCGCCTCGATACTCTTGAAGGACGGGACCTATCCATACTCTGGCTACGCGTAGACTGCGACGACCATCCGCGAATCTACGCGTGTCTGTATAGGTCCCATAGCGGTAATGCCGAAACTGACCGACTCTTTGAGCACATACAAATGGCTACAGATTCCGTGTTGCAGCAGATCCCATCCGCGGAGATCGTAATTCTCGGCGACTTTAATGCTCATCATGGCTTAGATCTCGTACCACCGACCACGCGGGGAGATCTGCTCACGATTTCGCATTGACATATGATCTGACACAACTGGTTACCTCGCCAACGCGAATCCCAGATGTGGAGGATCATACACCTTCCCTGTTGGACCTTCTGTTGACCTCTCATCCGGACGGATACTTGGTTTCCGTCGATCCTCCCCTCGGCTCGTCGGACCACTGTCTTGTCCGAAGCACAGTGCCAATAATGCGCTTAACGCGGCCTCACTTTGCGGGCTGCCGCCGCGTATGGCATTATAGGTCAGCAGATTGGGATGGGATGCGGTCATTCTTTGCGTCCTACCCATGGGGGCAGATTTGCTTCTCGCCGGATGATCCAGACGTCGTTGCTGACTCAGTGACTGATGTGGTGCTTCAAGGTATGGAACTCTTTATTCCGTTCTCTGCAGTGCCCATTGGTGGCAAGTCGCAGCCTTGGTTTGGTCGCTCCTGTAAGTTGGCATTACGCCGAAAGCGGGAATGCTACCAGGCTTGGGCTGACGCTTCGTCGTCTAGTGATGTAAAAACCAGCGTTTTAAAAAAGACGTATAACTCTGCCTCTAGGTCCTTCAAAAGTGTTATTGCTAAGGCGAAATCGGAACACATTGGCAGAATTGGCGAGAGATTGGCGCGTCTCCCAACGGGAACACGTGCGTTTTGGTCTCTCGCCAAAGCTGTCTTGGGAAATTTCTGTAAGCCTTCTTTTCCACCCCTGCACACGGAGGATGACTCGCTGGCCCATGCCGCGAAGGAGAAAGCCGATCTTCTGGGCTCTCTCTTCGCGTCCAACTCGACTTTGGATGACCGAGGAAAATTACCACCAACAATCCCGCGTTGCGATGCTACGATGCCGGAGGTTCAATTTCGGCAAAGTGCAGTTCGCAGAGCACTCTTTTCCTTGGACATTCATAAGTCGAGTGGGCCCGATGGCATCCCTCCGATCGTGTTGAAGACATGTGCTCCAGAGTTGGCACCGGTTTTGACGCGTCTTTTCCGGCTCTCCTATACTCTAGGCGTATTCCCAAAAACCGGGAAGGCCGCTTTAGTGCACCCGATCCCTAAGAAAGGCAACAGCTCGGATCCGTCCAACTACAGGCCTATAGCCATCACCTCCCTGCTCTCCAAGATAATGGAGACCATCATTAACTGCCAGCTCCTGCGGTACCTAGAGGAGCACCGGCTGATTAGCGACCGCCAGTACGGCTTTCGTCGAGGTCGCTCAGCCGGTGATCTTCTGGTTTACCTGACACACAGATGGGCAGAAGCAGTTGAGAGCAGGCAGGCAGTTGAGGCGCTTGCAGCCAGTCTGGACGTAGCGAAAGCCTTTGATCGGGTGTGGCACAAAGCACTTCTTTCGAAGCTGCCTTCCTATGGGCTTCCCGGGAAGTTATGCAACTGGATCACTAGCTTTTTGGCAGATCGGAGCATCAAGGTCGTCGTCGACGGTGCATGCTCTGATCCTAAATTTGTCAATGCTGGTGTTCCACAAGGCTGCGTACTGTCCCCCACTTTGTTTCTTCTGCATATCAATGATATGTTGCAAATCAGCAGCGTTCATTGCTATGCGGATGATAGCACTGTGGATGTTTCGTACACAGGCCGTGCTAACATTTCTCGGGAAAACGTCTACGAGAGCCGGAACAAACTTGTGTCTGAAGTCGAGACTTTGTTAACAAAAGTCTCAGACTGGGGTCGACTAAATTTAGTCCAATTCAACCCCGATAAGACACAAGTTTGCGCGTTAACCGCTAAAAACTCCCCATTTGTCGTGACTCCTCATTTTGAGAACACTCCCTTGTCTGTCACAGCTAGTATCGGAATACTTGGCGTCGAAATCTCGAGCAATGTCCAGTTCCGCGGTCAATTGGAAAGTAAGGCCAAATTGGCCTCAAAGAAGCTCGGTGTGCTCAGCAAGGCGAGACAGTACTTCACGTCGGCTCAACGCCTAAACCTTTATAAGGCGCAAATTCGGCCCCACATGGAGTACTACTCTCACCTCTGGGCGGGAGCCCCCTGTTACCATCTTCTTCCATTTGACCGCATCCAACGTAGGGCAGCTAGGGTTATCGACGATCAAGGTCTTTCCCATCAGCTTGATCTTTTGGCTATGCGTAGAGATGTTGGGTCACTCTGCATCTTCTACCGCATCTATCACGGGGAGTGTTCCGAGGAATTGTTTGGATTGATCCCAGCGGCTGAATTTCACCATCGGACATCGCGCCAAAACCAAAAATTTCATCCACACCACCTCGATGTCCAGCGTTCCACAACAGCGCGATTTTCAAGGCATTTCCTGCCTCGCACAACCACTCTGTGGAACCAGCTGCCGCCGGCGGTCTTTCCGAACCGTTACGACCTGGGAACCTTCAAGAAGAGAGCGTACTCATTCCTAAAAGGCCGGCAACGCATTTGTAAGCCCTCGGGTGTTGCAGATGTCCATGGGCGGCGGTGATCACTTACCATCAGGTGAGCCTCCTGCTCGTTTGCTGCTTTTTTCCCATAAAAAAAAAAAAAAAAAAAAAAAAGAGAAGACAACTTTTACCGGATCACTACTTAGAAAACGACTTTTGCCGGATCAGCCAGTGTGGTATAATTGTCTTATTCCAAAATGTTCAATCGTGACAATGTCTCTGTCTGAACTCTCCTGCGTCAAACCTTGGATTGTGGGGTCCGCTCTCGGCGTCGTAGTCCTGGGCGCTGAAGCAGTACGGCCGGTAGCTGATGGCCCCAACGATGTCTGGATCCCTGGTTCTGATCTGGAACAGCACATTAATTTCTTACATTTCTCATTCAATGCTTCATCTTAAGTACAGATAATAGGCTTTTATATTGCCACTGACAATGGACAATGAACCTAAATAGCTCAGTGTTCGGGCGCTCGCTTTTTCAATAATAAATAAATTCAATATAATCGAGCAACCCAGGTTCAAATCCCGATGTCAGAATCAATGAAATAGTTAATTTTAATGAATAGTTAATCTCACGAGATGGCGCTATATGTTATTGTTATTGTCAATTTATAAGACATAGGTTTTCTTTTTTTTTTGGGCGTCAAATAGCATTTTTTATTAAGGAAGCCCATATAGATAAATATCAAAACGTGATCTAATCACTAAATTTTGTTCCAAATGGTTAGAGATACAGGAAATCTACATAAATTAATTACATAATTAATTGTAGTATACAGAAATTGTTCGCTTTAAGTCGTAATATAGAAATAATCTATATATATTTTCATTCATTTTTTTAAATTAAATTCTAGACATAATTAATGTTATATAAAAAGGATAAATAATTAAAATCACTCGTAATTAATTAATTACATTCATTTTTAACTTATCTCAAAAAGTGCGTGATTTATGGGCAACTCATTTATTTTACGCGCGATCAAGTTCTGTTTTTAGGGAATAGAATGGCATTTGTTTTTTGAAAAAAAATTGTGTTTATTTCAATAAACAATTATACACTATCGAGTCTGAACCTCCGTGTGAATTTGGGCACTTTTAGAAAAGCCACCCTGTATATCCCAGCTAGGTAAAGGCTTTCTCTGTACTGCTTATAATTTACATATCTGATATTTTGATCATTTTTTTCTTTTAAATGATTATTCCTAAAATGTGCAAGTTTCCTCACAACATTTTCTTGTTAAACACTTGAGTTCATGATAAATCAGCACTTAAAATTGCAAACAAAAATTTTATTTATTGCACAACTGAGATCTGAGTCAGGTTGTTTGACTATAACTAATATATAAGAGATCAGCGAGACAGTGATTATACCGCCATAATAAAATTGGTGAATAATCACCACTCAGGTGGGAACATGGGGTGGATTTAGCAAGTTAGTTTATAGCAGATACTGAGGTCTATAGTCCCTGTTAAGTAGGTATATAAAAATCAAGGTCCTGAGTCAACACGATAAAAAGATTTGAGTAAATTTAGATTTTTTTTTATGCGAAAAGTTGTCAAACGAGCAGACGGTTCACCTGGTGTTAAGCGAATACCGCCGCCCATGGACATCTGCACACCCGAGGGTTGCAGATGCGTTGACAACCTTTTGAAAATTGGGCTCCGGCTACCTCACTCAACAGACGAAACGCGAAAGTATTGTCATACTTCCACTTCACGCTGCTCTTCTGTGAGGTCGTGGTACTTACCCGGATGGGCCTGCCCATTCGTGCAACGGCCGAGGCTGCTGCGTGGCCCTACCACCGTAAAAACTTGAAAATACCAAAATTTACCTAAATTTTAAACTGTTTTTTATTTTTCGGAATTTTCCCTTTACTTGTGCTGTACACTGACACACGGACATACAAACGGACAAGAGAATGATCTTTAAAGGGTTCCTTTCATTTAACTTTTGAGGTATGGAATCCAAATGACAAACAAAATGGCAGTAAAATCTATATTATTTGAATTTTTCCTTAGGACTGAAAATATTAATAGTTTATAGGTTGTAGCAACATAACTGCAATGTCATAGATGTTATTGATGTCCATTGACGGCATAAATCACAGCACTGTCAAATTTAAATGTGAGGCAAGGGCAAGGGTCTCTTTCAAACTCCAGAGAACAATGAATTTTTAATTTTTCAGACATATTCTTGGTCATATAGGAGGACCATCTCACATAAGTTACGGTGGTAGGGCCACGCAGCAGCCTCGACTGTTGCACGAATGGGCTGGCTCGTCTGGGTATGTACCACAACCTCATAGAAGACCGGTGTAAAGTGGAATTATAATACTTTTGCATTTCATCTGGTGGGTGGCCAGAGCCCATTTTTCAAAACGTTGTCAACGAATTTGGAACCCTCGGGTGTAGCAGATGTCCATGGGCGGCGGTATTCACTTAACATCCAGTAAACCATCTGCTTGCTTGACAACTTTTCACATAAAAAAAAAGTTGTCCTTGTGTAATAAAAGACGTTAATGAGAGACAAATTAATAATCTTATTATTAATACATACCTTGTAAAGAACAAAAGGGTTGAATGTGGTGACCACAGCATTTTCATACAGGGTAGGATGTTTCGAAAACGCCTTGACAATTCCGTTTATCACCTGTAAATGTAAATTAAAAGATTCAGGAAAACTGACACATATTCTAATTTTTACTATAATTTCACAAGCAAACAAAACACCATGAAGCAATGTATATATTTTCCATTACATATAACGGTACTCAAAAGTCAACATTTTTAAGACACATTTTTACACATTCTCTAGTCTACATAAACTGATAAACATACTTATATAAACGACCCACAAAGCCAATTGGGATCGTCAAATGTATGATAACCATTAAATACATAAAAATCAATAGATCGGTATTGTTTTTATGTGTCCTTATGATCATGGTAAGGAAACCAGATCATATATTTCAGAACTCACCATGTCGCACATTGATCTTTGGAAAGTGACAAACAGCGAATTTTTGCTTTGTAGTAGTTTATAAATTGTCTGCAAAAATCTAAAAATCTTTGGCACTACAATAACTTTTTATGTATTGCACTGATCAGTACTGATTTTTAAAATAATTGAAAAATGATGAGGTTTTTTTTATGTGATAAATTTGTTCACCTGATGTTAAGTGATAACCGATGGCCATAGCCATTTGCAACACTTGTAGGGTTGCAAATACCTTGTCACTTTTAAATAAAGTGCGCTATCACTCACCAGACGAAATGCACAATTGTTACACTTCTAGTTTACGCTGGTTTTCTGTGAGGTTGTGGGACTTATCTGGTCGGACTAGCCCATTCGTGCAACAGTGAATATTGTTGGGAGGCCCTAATGCAGGTACTTATGTTTAAGCAAACAAATTGAATATTAAATAAAACTGGTTTATGGATTTTATCGCGTTTTTATTTTGATTTTTACTTCCTGATGTTTCGAAAACCCTTTCCATTGTACATGGTTATTGGACAGATTAAAAAGACTATTAAGAAAAGATCACTGAAGAGAAAAAGTCACGGAAAAGATTATTAAGTCCATAAACTAAACTAAACTACTGTACAAACTCAAGAAATTGCTTTAAAAGAACATACATTCACAAAAATAATTACTTCCTCATTTACACACTCTTTAATGGTTAATTGAATAAAAGAAGCTCACCTCTTGGTCTTTTCCTTTAACATCAATAATCATCCTCACATTATTGGCAAGCAGGAATTCTATTGCCTCATCAAATAGACAAAGGTGCACCTCTTTGTACTGTTGCCTATAAAAAGAAATTTCAAAATGAACTGGAATTTAAAAATGCTGTCTTATTTTCAAATTCACAATGTTAAAAGAAATTTCAGTATCATGGCTCAGGTGCTAGGCAATCTTTTATGTCAATAGTGCAATTGGAACATTAAATTTTTTTTTAATGTAATAAAGCAAAACTAAAAATTTACCTATTTGGATGTGTAGCCCCAATGTCTATGTTTTTGATCTCATCCCAGTTCATGATATGAACATTGTTAATATCGGTGCCAGTCAGCCTCTCCAGCCCCTGGTCGTGCAGCAACACCAAATGCCCGTCTCTCGATGATCTCACATCCAGCTCTATGAAGTTACAATCTCTGTCAACACACTGAGAAAGTTTAAAAGGTTAATTTTCTTTACAAAATTGATTTTTTTCTACACAGAGAAATTATTTGTTATGTGTGACTACTAAACACAAAATTTTAATTTTCAGTTTTCATTTGATAAATTCAATTATTAGATAGTTTTACTGCAAGAACTAATAAAACAACAGGTAAATAATCTTTTACTCTTCCTATTCCTAGCTTTAGATCCCCAACTTTGGTCAAAAATAATAATATTTATAAACATGAATCATTTCAAAGTATATCTATTCAACAATATGAAAAAAAAATGACAGGAACTATTTCTAAAGGTAACTGTATAATATAAAGGAAAATTAATCGAAAATAATTATATAATTATTCATTCCTGTCGAGCAGAGAGACATTTCCGCTTTTAACATTTTAAATGCTTGTTAGCTACAGATATGCCGGAACCGATTTCAAAAATGGATTAGGTTATATATTGAAAAGGTATTTTTTTATCGCCTGGATGAGGAAAGCGGAAGATTGTGAACTGTGGCGTGCCATTGGGGAGGCCTATGGTCAGTGGACTGCAAGAGGCTGATTGGATTGGATGTTTTTATCGAGTAAGAAAATGAACTCACATATTTGAATGCCTGCATTGTATTCTCGGGCGCGTCCAAGCCAGCACCCCGATGCGCAATGCACCTGACCACTTTCTCGGGGTTCAATTCGCTTTCCTTGGTCCACGGATCGGGACCAAATATATTGAGGACATTATTGGGGTCGGGCTTCCTCACCCTCGTTATAAAATAAGCTGCAACGCTCAATACTCCGACGTCCAACCCGAAAGGGAGCACTGTATGTGAGAACAAAAAAGTCGTATACAGGAAACAAATGATGTAGTATGTGCTGTGATATAAGAATTTTAGAGTGGCGATAAACATTTTTTCATTCGTTCGTTGTTAGTGTTATTCGAATGTATGTTATGATTTTCGAAAATAAATAAATAGGATGCGAAGAGGCGGGGCCTCGTTTGACAGATACGTTCCGAACAATCGTACATAGTACAGTAATACAGTAGAGTAGTATAGTCTCCCAAGTTCTTACCCTAATTAATCACGTAATTCTTTGTAATGATGAATCATGAAGATGACATCATAACCATCAAGACCAAGAAAGGTTCAGTATTGTTCTCATTCTAAGTTTTTATCTTTTAAAGTAAGAACAACTTACTTTTTGGAAACATGATGTACCTCAATTTTCCTGAAAAATCAAGTGTGTACTTATATTGAAATATGAGGTTCGCAGCGATTTAATTTAAAAACTGGTTACTGTACTGGATATTGCACGTGCTATTTAAATATACTTGTATTTATGGTTTTGAAAACAGTATAAAAGCTCCATCTATCGTTGATTTCAATAATATTAATTCACCGATCTTTTTTGGTAAAATAAAACTTCATATCATTTGGTAAAAATAAAACAACTTACATTTTTGTGGCATTTATTATCTTTATTTTTATAATTTTTCTGTACGTGTGTATGTCACTGAACTGATGAACTCCCCCCATAATAAGTTACTCTGGGACTCCCCCTAAACGGCTGGACCGATTTTAATGAAATTTATTGCGTGTGTTCAGGTGAATTCGAATCGAGAATGGTTTAGATTTACAAAGGTATTCAAAAAAGTTTGAAAATTATGACTTGCGTACAGGATAACATCTTTACGGTCCGCTTTTTTATATAAGTAATCCTTATTGTGGTTATACTTAAAAAGCCAATTTAAGTTTAGCTACATCTCTAACAGAAATTCTGGACATTTGTCTAACTGAAACCATTATCATTCCTCGATTCAATTTTAACTTTACATTTGCATGATTACTTACTTAATTAATTCATTACTTTTACTCTTAAACATTTGTTAGTAAACTGTAAGAAATATCATATGAAGAAACAAACTCAATTCATCTTTTGAGTGGCGCTAAACAACACTCAACGCCCACTGTTTTCTTATTCTAGTACAAAGTTTTCAAATAATTTGTTTCAAGTTTTATATTCTCCACATTTTATATTCACAAAGTGTTATACAGCGTGTCTTTACCATCGCGACAATAAATGAACACACATATAGAGGATAACTTTTTAAAATTGTATTAAACATTTACTTTCTTTAAACATCAATATTTACAGAGTTATAAAATTTTCCAAAACAAAGAATTTTCGAACATCCTTACGTATAAAACTGTAACGTAAAGTTCATTTGTAAAGGTCACAAGGCATATGAATGGGTTGAATGAATTTAAAAGAGACAAAACATACTGTTAGAAGGAGAGGCTTGTAATGCGACACTGTGGCAACGAATGAAAACCTCTCTGAATGTATGAATCAGTCAGTTGTAGTTGTAAAGGATGTTACAAATTTTGTTTCTTTTCTACTTAATTAGTTTGTTTGAAAAATATTTTTTTTTAAATTATGGATTTTTTTAACGTTAATATTTTTTTATGATTATTGGCATGTAGCGTTAGACGTGTATTCATTTATTGTCGCGATGGTAACGACACGCTGGATAAACCTCCTATTTATATAAATAAGAGGTTTATACAGCTTGTCGTTACCATCGCGAGAATAAATATATATTAGGTACCTAGAATTATCTGCTAGTATTTTCTAGCATAAACAGAACATAAACAGACAGAAACAGATCGAATTTATTATACTACTTGGTAAAAATCTTGTCAATCAAACATCTAATGATAAATAGTGCGGTCTCCACGACAGTCAGCAGGCTTGCACCAACGAACAATGCTGTTGTCCCTCCAAGTGACGCTATTGAAAAATGTTAAAAAATCACTTTTATTCAACTCTTCAAATATTTATTAACCTTGAAAATGAAGAGAGGAATAAGCAATTATTTTACACTTTAAACTTCTGAAAAACTTTTAAAAGGAAGCTTCTTAGGCGAGTCAATAATTGATGGGAATTGAGAGCGAAATTTTCAATGGACGTAGCGTCACGTAGGCGCATTTTGTTACATGATAAAGAAGAATGATATAGAATACAGTACCAGCGATTTACAAGTGGAATATGAGTTAGATGCACGCGTCGGCCCCTATACGGACAGTAGAAGTAGTAAGGTTCCTTTTGTTTTGTGATTATTTACGCTTGTAAGAAAAATTACTGCATTTTTATCAAAACTCCTTAATGGATTTATAGGTTTTAATTTTAACTCCCGACCTTTAGCATACTTTGGTCACGAGGTGGACTGTGGTGCGGTCACTGTTAACCCGAGCTACCGTCAGCTAGAAAATTATTAGCATCCATTCGAAATACGCAGCAAAATCTATAGGTCTGGATTTTTTTGTGTAATGTTAATTGCACATTTGCGTAGGGTCACAGATGCGACCATTTAATAAGGAGGGCCCCAGCTACCTCACTCACCAGACGAAAAGCAGAAGTATAACACTTCCACTTCACGCCGGTCTTCTGTAAAGTCGTGGTACTTGCCCATTTAATTTTATCGATAATAGGAACCCAACCCGATGGTAGAACCCAACCATATTCTCTATTGAATTTTCGATTTTTCTTCATCCATGCCTCGCGAATCATCCATTTTCACGAGGATTCGGATGGTCTAGCAAATCGGACGAACCTAATGGTTAGAGCGACTTTGTAAATGTATGCTCTGCAGAGCGCAGAATTACTTGACCTAGTAACCAATTGGACAATGATCATGAATGTTAGCGCAACAAAAAAGCAATAAAATATTATAAGAGAAGCTTACAGATCATTACAGCGGACGGAATTAAATTTCTAGAGCGAATTTTCCCAAAGTCCAAATCCAAGGAATCTAAGTATGATCCAAGGGATTAGTTGTAATTAGAAATAATTTTACGGTTGCGTAAAGAGTTAACAGCGATTCGTTAAGAAGATCGAAACTTAAATCACAAAGTTAATGATTCAAACGCCCTTTTAAAGCTACCAAAATAACCCAATTTTGTCGCTATTAAATACAATAAAATTTTTATTTTCATAAAAAACATCATTCCATTTGTACATTATTTTTATTATTATATTTTTTTTGTCACTTGTTCTGTGTACAATAAATATATAAAGAAATAAATAAAAATCGGCCTTTCGTTTAAAATTTCTTGTAAGGAATTTATGAAAATGACATCTATAGATAATTTTTTTAATGAAATATCGATATATTGCATTAAAAAAATTATTCTTAAAGAATAATTCAGTATAATTCGCTAACTATACTGAATTATTCTTAAATATAAGATATCTCTCATTGATAAATAACTCATTATTACATAATCATTCGGCAGACCACGGTATTGCACGAAAATTTCGCACGGGTCAATTAGTTTAGGTATAACAAGCTAACTTTAAGGTCACGCTTGTTGCATTTAGTAGGTCTTATGTAATCGCGTTAATAAAGAAATTATCATCTATCAGCTTTTACCTATAAGGGGGTCGAAATGAGTTCGGGAATCATCGCTCCAGGAAAGCCACGATGACATTGCACAAAAAAAAAATTTAAACCGAACCGAACGAAAGACGAACCGAATAAATCCTCGAGGCTAAAGATCACGTCCCTGTGCAGACGAAATTTCGGCGGCATCAGGTTGTACCGCGCAATGGCGGCCGCTTCCTCGTCCAGCGTTTCGTTGCTGTTCGAAAAACAACAGTTTGTTTTTTTAATTTCAAAACACTCAAACGAGCATGTGGTTCACCTGATGTTAAATGAAGACCGCCGCCCATAGACATCTACAACACTCGAGTGCTTGCAGATGCGTTGACAACTTTAAAACAAAGTGCGCGCCGGTTACCTTACTCACCAGACGAAATGCGAAAGAATAATATTTCCACTTCACGCTCATCTTCTCTGAGTGGTACTTACCCGTACGAGCCTGCCCATTAGTGCAACCGCAGAAATTGTTGCGTGGTTCTCCCCCCGCAAGTTCGCAAAGCAATCTCTGCAAGCTCCTTGCCGTAATAAAAATAGCTGAATCCCTGTTTCTAAACGGTAAATTGTTAAGCGCAGCGGGATATCCTCATTTCTCTGTCTCTCTCCCTCTCTCTCTCTCTCTTTCATTCGCGGGCGCGCGAAACTTAATATACTTGTCATTGGCATAAAGGATAATAAAATGCCATCACAAACAGTAAAAAAAAGACAAATACATCTGAGAGAAGATGGGCAGAAAGAAATAGTAGTATCGACTAGAAGCAGGCTGATAGGTTAAAAAATAAAAATAAATAGAAACTAGTCTTAGATTTGAAAATTCAAAAGAAATAAAATAAAATAAAGTAATTGGTATTTGTGAATATCACAAATACCAATTACCAAACAATGACTTGGATGCACCTCCAATTTTTATTTACAAAAGTAAATACTTAATAATATTCCAACTGATGATATTAATGCAGTTAACATTGAAAACATTTTAAAATAGTGTAAAATAGTGTAGTATTTGTAAGTGGGTATTTACATAAAAAATTGTTACGTGTTCGAACAGTGGTTGTATCGAGCGTCAGTTGAGCATTAAACGTGTACAAATCCATTACTTATTTTATTTAAAATATTCACTTGTTATAAACATAACAAGTTTTAGTAGTTATTCAATACAGTGACATGCGTCGTATTGTAATTATTTTGGGGAGATTACACAAACTACAAATATTAAACTATTATCTTGAAAATTTAATTAAGTGGTTACCTACTGAGTACTGGTACTAAGTATGTCCCTTTTGTAACCTTTCTGGCCCTTGAGACGCAAAATTAATAATACCTATCCGTTTAGAATAAATTCGTTTTATTCCAACATATGGATATTTTTTATCTGTTCCCATTCAGTGTTGTCAGACAGACAGCCGGTCGTAAAAACAGCAAAAGTCGCTTACAACATGATTTACATGTTGTGCCGATGGGATAAGGGCAGAATAATGGTATAGAAATTTGATGTACTCAATTGTTTCTTGTTCTCGAAAAGAAAATTTAAGTATGTACCCTTTTATTACTCAATAAAAAATAATGTTTTTTTTTCCTTTTCCCATTAAGGTATTTATTATAAACGTATTTTTAATTTCTTCGCATAGCGCAAAAGTCAGAAGTCATAAAAAATACTCGTAGTACGTCTTACCGAATAGAGACCTTCTTTGTGTGAGAATAGTAGTTGAGCTCGGCGCATTGGGGGATGCAGGGGCATTTGGCCAGGTTCTTAGGCAGATTGATGAGTATCTCCACATTCCGTCCGATACACGCCATCCCGTGCGCATCACACACGTCGCCATCTTGTCAAACACGTGACAAACACCGCTTGTTAACGGGTTTTTATTAAAGTAATTTAAAGCCCTTTACTCTATTTTTATACAGAATATATTTTTAAAATATAAAATTTTCAACAAAAAAAAATTCTTCACGGGTTGATTTGCACTGAATCTATTTTTTTTGAAATCTTGTTTGACTTTCATAATAATTGATAAATGTTAGTGGGTTTGCTTTTTCTTTTTTGAATAAAGCTATCGTGTTACAAAGAGGTTCTTTGTAAAAAGTATATAAATCTACTGATAAGTAGATTTAGTCACTGAGCTGTCACTAAAATGTTTAAGCACTACAGGGCTAGGTTGAGAACAACAAATCCGCAGCTTGTATTTTTACTAATTCATAGAGCAACTAATGATTCTCTTACAAGAAAAAGAACAGTAGATTTATATACTTACCTGTAAGAAAAATTTAAAGCCTACCTCCTTTGATATTGAAGTATGGCCGACAGCCGCAGAACATTAAGGCCATCCGATTTCGACAGCTCATCTGACAGAGGCCAAAGCTATACGCCTGCAAGCATAGAGAAATATCTTCCATAGTAATCAGAGAAGACTGTAAAGGTTACTGATGTCTCTGACTGACTGCGTTATCGTTCAACATAAATGCAACCGCATCGCTTGACACCTTTTCACATAAAAAAAGAACCGCCACCCGATGTATTTAACCAACCTTGATGGGCCCATTGGCACCATCTCTGCTGCAGCGTTGGGATCACGCGAGCCGCGGCCTTAATCTCTATAATTAATGAACAGTCTTAGCAGTCACTCAGTTATGATACTGGCAACATTTTCCATGGGGTATGAACAATTATTCACTGACATAATCATTCAAAGAGAGCGCTTGCAAAAAAGCGTTTAGTTAGTCAGATGGTTAATAATGACCTCTGCTAGGGGGCACCCGCATCCAGTGTTGCCATACTTCAACTGGACAGGCCCCGAATCTGTGTTGCAGTGTCACTTTCTTTGTACTTTTTTCATAACTTTTACTAAGTTTGTGAGGTCTCATATTAATTTGATGGTTATTAGATATTAAACTCCGTAGATACACCAGGGAACTCCTCAAAGTCAAATGAAAAATGCATTTGGATGAGTGAGTGGATGTTTTCTGCTAAGTATTTTTTTTATTTATTGTGAACACTTGGCACAAGGACACTACTGGGTATCGGATTTGTAAAATAGCTATTCCTGAAGGTTCTGATCAGGATAATAGTAAAAGAACTATTTGAATTATTGCATTGTGATGGGTCTTTGACGAGTGTTCAAAGTTTGATTAAAATGTGATCGTTCCGTCACAAAATCACGTTTAAAGATTCCGTTACATGCATACATACAGTTCAAATTGATATAAGCGTGTTAAAAAAGAACCGCCAACCGAGGAATTAAACCGACCTTGATGGCTCCATACCACTCGTCTGGGTATCTGCACCGTCTCTGCTCCGGCGTCAATGTCTTCACGCGAGCCGCTGCCTGAATCTCCACCACCTAAATCCAACGTGAATTTCACTGCTATTATGGCGTTCCCAAATGACAGCACATTTTTTTCAAGAGCCAGTCTTCCAAACACAGTGACAGATCAAATCAAAATCAAAAATATATTTAGTCACTTGTGCGTTCTTATGAAATGTCATTTTTTTATGTGAAAAGTTGCCAAGCGAGCAGGCGGTTCACCTGATGTTAAGTGAATACCGCCGCCCATGGACATCTGCTACACCCGAGGGTTACTGATGCGTTGACAACCTTTTGAAGATTGGGCTCCGACTACCCCACTCACCAGACGAAACACGAAAGTATTATATTTCCACTCGACGCCGGTCTTCTGGGAGGTCGTGGTACTTACCCGGACGAGCCTGCCCATTCGTGCAACAGCCGAGGATGCTGCGTGGCCCTACCACCGTGTAAAAATTTTACATAAAAATTAAAACGTTCGTAAGTTACCACCGGTTCGGAAAGCAGTTCCTGTTGAGAAGAAGCCGGCAAGAAACTCACTAGTTGCTCTTTTTTAAAACGATTAGTTTACAATATAATAGAACAAGTATGTCTTATTTTAGCCTACGTGAGTATGAACGGTATTAACCCCACACATTGGCGTCGTCAAGATATTTCGCAATGGTATAATATGCCTTATCCATAAGTTCACTTTTAATTTTGCGTTTAAATTGATCTAGTGGCAGACTTAATATCGACTGTGGGATATTATTATATATTCGCACACTTTGCCCCATGAACGATCTATTTAACACAACAATGGCGTTATTAATTTGTCCTTATTTCTAGTATTTAATTTATGTTTGTCACTATTCTTTAGGTAACAATTAAGACTATGTCTAACATACAAAATATTATAATAAATATATTGGGACGTAACAGTGAGTATATTAATCTCTTTTAAAAATTTCTCTGAATGTATTCTGGGCCCCGATGTTATACATTGCTCGGACAGCTCTTTTTTAAAGAATAAATATAGAATTTATATCAGATACACTACCCCACAACAAAATGCTATGAAAATAACTAAACTAAACAAGTCTGGCAGTGTCGATGTCTGTTAGCTGCCTAACCTTCCTAATCGCAAAAACAGCGGAGCTTAGCCTACTCGCAAGAGATAATAGATGGGGACTCAACTGGAGCTTTGAATCTATTGTAATCCCCAAGAAAAGTAACACACACCCATTCCAAGAAAACTATATACAGAGTGGCTCTAAGTGTATCCATTTTTTTAAATTAAATTCTAAACATAAATAATGTTATATAAAAATGATAAACATTTAAAATCACTCTTAAGTAATTACATTCATTTGAACTTATCTCAAAAAGGGCGTGATTTATACAAAACTCATTTATTTTACGCGCGATCATTCATAACCTCCTGTGTGAATTTGGGCACTTCTCAAAAAATCTCCCTGTATAGTTCGGTATAATTATCCGGTCAGGCTGAAAAAAATTATTTAAATAGAAAAAATAAAAGCCATCAAATAATTTAAAAATAAATAAATAATAAGTACCTTATAATCGATCACAAGCTCTTCATTCGGCATCACTTCCCCTGTCGGATTGGATATAGCAGTCGCTATGTCGAACGGAGAATGCACGAAGTACTGCACAGAATAAGTAACAAGTCAAATAATAACTTCACGTGTTTGAATCTTACGGGACTGGCGAAGATCGCCGCTACTAGGAATTTATTTCTTACCTCTTTATGCAATATCTAGGCAAAGTTCTTCTTTGTGAGAGGACGATAGATATAGTTTTCCACTCAGCCTCATCACGGATTGGCAGACTTCAAATCCTTTGGAAATAAAAGAGTGCTACGAAGTTTTTTCCTCCCTCATTTTTTATGTGAGAAGATTGCAAGCGAGCTGGTGGTTCACCTGGTGTTAAGTGGCAGATGCGTTGCCAACTTTTAATAAATTGGGCCCCGCTTACTTCGCTCACCAGAAGAAATACAGAATTATAGCAATTCCACTTCACGCTGGTCTTAGGAAATATTCTATATTTTATACTTCCTTAGCGTAACAAAAGAAAAATAACTATATATTAAATGACTTGAAATTATAGGGAATGCTAAAAAGCTGTTATTGGTTGCCATGGTGATACCGTGAAGTTAGATGAAGTTGGTCACTTCGCAAGCAAATTCATGATGTCGCTTGTTGGCTGTCGGTGTGCGCACGCATCGTCATATTTTTTTTCGAGAAGTAAAGTTTAAAAAGTTTAAAGAAGTATAACCTCAAAATCTATTAAGTGCGGCATTCATTTAAAACTTTGCCTTACTCGAACGACATTGCTCGAAGAATTGATGGTGACGAAACATTGCCCGCTGTGGTAGTGGCACTTAAGTAGCTCCTGCTGGTTCCATTCGGTCTCCTTCAGCAAGAACTGGTATTCGGCGTACACTGAGTTCAGTGTGAAACACAAACCCTCCTCCGTCATGACCGGTATCCATTGCACCTGATGATCGCAGAAAATAACCAATGTTTATTTTTTCATTGATTACTGGCCAGAGATATAACATATTTTTATTATTTCAAATTATTTAGACTTTCATATTCAATCGGTTAAGATCCAAAAAGATCACTTTTAGCGTTATATTAAACCTTTTCATTTAAGGGTAAAAAACAAGTGTGTGTGTACTTAAGTACGCATGTAAGAAGTTATAAATCTTTAGCGTAACAAAAGAAAAATAACTAAAAAAATTTATACCCTGTGGCAGTACTCTTTGATTGAGACTTTTGGGGGATCGGTGTGCGCGTACATCGTAAAAATCGCGCCAGATTTTTTTTTATATAGTATAATGTAAAGTAATAATTTCAAAAATATTAATTATGATTTCTAATAGCATAAATTATACCTCTACTCATACTATATTATCCATATATATAATAATACTGTTTTATCAAAATAGCTTCGTTAATAATACATAATATTTTTTGTGATTGTAAAAGATATAAATGGTTATCCTTAGGAGATACGGATGCCATTGAGGAGTTTTTATCGCTATTCCGTAGGACAAATATACTATTCCGTAGGACATTAATTTGATCTAATCATACACAGACAGACAGACGGACGACTTTGTTCTATACCATGTAGTGATGATAAAGATATGTTATAGCGTAACATATAATACCATTTTCTGTAGTGCCGAAAAAACTAAAAGATTTTTTTTAATCCAACCTCTTTGTTAGTCTGTGACAAGGTTACACCTAATGTCACGTTCGGATGCACGCTTCGCGCCAAATCTAGCAGATCTATGTTCTTGACGGTGTTGTCGCTCTGGTACTTCCAGAAGTTCTGCAGGTTGGTCCTGAATGAAACGTCAGCGACTTGCTCGATGAAGCCATAGTAATACTGGAATCGTTCAGCGTCCGAATCTTCAGTTACATTCCAAAGTCTGGAAGATTTTTTGAAATACGTCTATGATTAGTAATTATAAGTCTGAATTTAAAAAATAAACGTGCATAAGTTTTTTAATTGTGATGTAACTCCACAAATCAGTTTTTACCGTTCTCTATCTATAACTCGAGAACCATCTTTTATTTGTTTTCTATTACGCAAAGCACAGGTTTTCGTTACACATATAATACGTAGGTATGCACATATTATATTGTGCTAAACTCACATCCAAAATCGAAAAGCGATCTCCTGTGTCTCTCATTTGACTTTTGTAGTTTTTTTTTACTTTTTCCTTCCAAATACCTTTCAATTTCTTTCTTAGCCACCTCAGGCTGTACCCGCTCCAAGAAGCAGGCTGTGATCGCCGGGAATGTGGTCCACCAGTTTCGGTAATCCCTCTGCAGCGAGACCACCACTGGCTCAGACATATAACGGGACAGTTGGCTGAGACCACAGAAGACCGCACCGGCGAATGCGCAGACTGTTAAAGCCAGCCATAAGAGTCTGAAACGTGTTTCTTTGATCAATTTCAACCTTTAAGGGTCCACTGCTGGATAAGCCGCCTCAAAAGTCCGCAACGCTTTTCTTAATTAGATAACAGGCCAGCTCTACTACCATCTATTGTTATTATACCATCTTACCTGAAGGTAAGAGTAGATAATCTTAGATGGAAAACGCACTAGCTAGGCAAGTCTGCAAGGCACTCTGTAAGGCGTAACTAAACTTAAATGAAAAATGTTTAACAATATTTGTCGCGTTTAAAGGTGACATAATCACTAGATGCTATAAACTGTGACGCAAGTTACAATAACAAAGGTTCTGCAGTCTGTCCCTACCCTCCAGCAGACATGAAACTGATGCCAATATGTTCTTATATCTTAATCTCTATTGTATTTTAATCCTATTTTCATGTAAATGTTTGATTTGATTTGGTAACTTTACCAAAAAGCTAAGCGTTCAAAAAGGTTTACCCAAGATTAACCTCCAGTAACGTGACAACTTGTTAAAGCTGGCCGGTAATAACGAAAGATGACACAAAATCAATTGAAAAAAAAAAAAACGAACTCGAAAACGTCAAACACAAAATTTGCGATACGTCGCTTATGTAGAAGAAACATAAAACTATTGCGAAACCTTTCGAGGAAGTGAAAATTGGCAGTGACAGTATGCTTCAGGCCGTGTAGAGTTGTCTCCTGGCAGAACTGGGCGTAGAGGGAGTAGATTGGAGCCATGGATGACCTGATCGCCTCCATTTTGGACTTCATTCGATTCCGCCAGATCAACATTGCGGTTTGTTTCTTTCCCTTCCCTCGTCTCTCCATTTCACAATACTGCGGGAAATATATTTTTTATCTGTTTATTTTTTTTATCTGGCAACGCAACGGGCTCCTTTTGGTTCGCTTACAGCCGGTTTGAATTTGAATATTCGATCTACAGATAGTTTGGTTACTGCAATGGAAAATTTGAGAAGGGAGGCCATGCGGCACACTGAAATGAGATAATTTCTGTAATAAAACTCAATAATAATTTAGGGAAAAATTTAAAACTTTCTAGATAAAGGGCTTGTTGACTGATTGGTTGAATAATTAATTAATTTTTAAAAAATATTCTTTAAATAACCATTAAGTTATCCATCGTGTCACGTCCATCGGAATTTTGCACCGCTAGAAAGGAATTTATTATTTTTAGTAGCTGATGCCCGCGTCTGATAAAATCCTGCCATATTATATAAAAATTACGTAATGGTTATGAAAATCTTTGTTTCTTAATACATTAGATATAAGGGATAAGACATAAGGGTCTAATGTTTAAGAAATAAAACTTAGAGAATTAATTAAAATCTGGGTAAATGTAAATAACTTTAACTGCGGCGTAATTCAAATCAAATAAATTTTAAACGATAGAGAAAAATCACCAACAAGCAGAATTCGGCGGTCGCTTATAGTTTTCGAAAAAATAAATAATGAAAAAGTGTGATTTTTACTATAGAAATCCGCCATTTTTTTGTTGTCAATATGTCAATTCAGCTCGTATTTCTTGATGGTCATAAAAAAAAACCTAACATCGAAGGTTAAGGCGGGAGCTCCGCTCCCGCCTGAACCTTCTAACCTAATCTATCCGAGTCGGATTCGCTCTGTGTCGGTTCTGTGACTCATTAAATAAAAAAAAATCGGAATGTCGATACGTGTATGATGTCGCCCGCTTCCTATATTTATCATGTTGGCAGAACTGTGTATTGAGTTTTTAAAGTCAAACAAATAAAATGGTGGATTTCTTAGTACAAAAAACAAGTTTTAAATATTTTTTTTCTCGAAAACTATAAGCGACCGCCAAATTCTGCTTGTTGATTTATTCATTAGAGATTTTTCTCTATCGTTTAAAATTTATTTTAATTGAATTACGCTGGAGTTAAAGTTATTTACATTTACCAAAATCTGTCTTGTTTTTCCATGATGCGCCCACAATGGTCTCCTCTATCATTCCGGGTAAAATGGAACCCTATTACTAAGGCTCCGCAGTCTGTCTGTCTGTCCGTCCGTCCGTCTGTCTGTCACCAGTCTGTATCTCATGAACCGTGATAGTTAGACAGTTAAAATTTTCACTGATGATGTATTTCTGTTGCCGCTAAACATCAAATACTATAAAACAGAATAAAAAAAATATTTCGGTGGGGCTCCCATACGACAGACCTGATTTTTTTCGCCGATTTTTAGACAAAATGTTACGGAACCCTTCGTGCGCGAGTGCAACTCGCACTTTTTATTTGTATCCTACCTATGATAATCTAATATATAAAATTCTCGTGTCACAGTTTTCGTTGCCATACTCCTCCGAAACGGCTTGACCGATTTTGGTGAAATTTTTTGTGCTTATCCGGTATCTATGGGAATCGGCCAACATCTATTTTTCATCCCCCTAAATGTTAGGGGTAGTCCACCCCTAAATTTTTATTTTTATTTTTTAGACAAAATTTTTAATTTCTAAATTTTTATGATACAACATACAAAAATACATACAACCCTAAATTGTAACCCTTCTACGCAGACGTATTCGCGGGCAGCAGCTAGTAAACTATGATTTTAGTATGTTCCTTTACACAGCTTACTTTTCAGTGCACTTAATACTTTTAAGTCCTTTTTCAAAAATTAATATTCAAGGATTGTTGATACGTTAACTCTAGGAGTGTGTTCTGTTACAGAGTACAAATCGTCTCTGACTATTCGTTCCGTACCACGTTAATGGTCCCTTAACTGCGACGAGGACTGAAAAGCCTTACTCATAAGCATTTACGAAACTATTCGTATGGATTACACACAATGGACATGTCCATTAGACTCCATTAATGTAATAACCGTATCAATCAGAGAGCTCTCAGATGATCGTATCGTACGGATCATATCGTAGAAGATGCATTATTCTGAATAAAATGGATAAAAACGTAGTATTTATCCTAAAAAAACCAAAAACTACAATTTAATTCCACCCAAAAGCTTTTTCGCCTATTTTTATCATCATCATCACATCAGCCGCAGGACGTCCACTGCTGAACATAGGCCCTCCCCCATGGACTTCTCCCCCGACCGGTCGGTAGCGGGCTGCATCCAACGCGTCCCTGCGATCTTTACTAGGTCGTCCGTCCACCTTATGGGAAGCCTACCTACGGTGCCCTTGTCGTCACGTGCTCTCTCTAGAACCTTTCTGCCCAAACAAAGCCCATCGGTTCTCCGATCTATGTGGTACACATGCGACGAATCCAGATCGGCTGTGCTGCATTTAGGAAAATACGCCGCGTCGTTACGTCCAAAATACCACCATCTATTCAGTCCATTAGAATTATTTAGATCCTAATCACGCATTCCAAAAATTCATATAAATTAGTCCAACCGTGTCGCGCTGTATGTTGTTTATGTAATTTGTTGAATTTACTGCATTAAACATGTATCAGTTATATGTATATACATATTTATTTTAAAAAAAAAAATATTTGCATAGTTATTTAGATTTTTTTAATAATTATACACCCTCCGTACAGTAGGATGACGTCATACTGCATTGTATAAGCATTGTTGAACAGCGCATACACAAATGAATACGGTACCATAACAACCATCATTTGATTATTTTATAACAGTACTACAGCTCTATCCGTAATATCTCGTCGAACCCACGACCCGCGATCTAGAAACCTTCTGTTTAACAGCTGAGCCAAACCATAACTACATTTCAGATTGCGGCGATACTGAGCATCGTGTACGTGGCCTACCAGTACCGCAGCAAGCTGTTCAAGGTCACCTATGATCTTGACGAGGACTCCAACGGAGACAACCCGACTCGGCTCTCCAGGTCGCGTTCAAGGTGATTTTTTTTTTAAAAAGTGGCAAACGAGCTGGCGGTTCACCTGATGTTAAGTGACAACCGCCGCCCACGGACATTTGCAACACCGGTTGCAGATGTGTGTCACCTTTTAATAATGCAGGCCCCAGCTACCTCGCTCACCGGACGAAATGCAGAAGTGTAACATTTCTAGGTCGTGGTACTAACCTGGACGGATCTGTCCATTCGTGCAACAGCGAACACTGTTGCGTGGCCCTACCACAGTGGACTGGCGCTTTAGGCGTTATGTTTCTTTATGAAGTCCTTCGAGGGACGTCCTTAAACACGAACGCCGGACACCATGCTTCCCTTGAGGGCGGAGACATTACGTGGGATTCCTACTCGATAAAAAATTCCCGATACCTAACCTAACTTGGCGATACTAACAGATCTAAAAAAATGGGAATGCCCTGCCTCTGCACTGTTTATAGACCCCTAGGCAATGAGTCTTGGGGCCTCGGCACACTTATTGAGTAGGTCTTCAGTTCTTAGTTGGCGTACCAATGAGAGAGTAATAAGATACTAATTTGCTAAGCCTACCCTGGGATATAATACACGCACACGAAACGGTGTAGGAATAATCTTCTTTTGCTTTCTGTTCCATCAGAGAACAAGTGAGTACAGGGAAGATGTTACTTTATAGCTGCAAGGTGTTTTGTATCAAGCTGATTCTTGTAGGTTTCTTTACGATTCAAATGAGGACAGACGTTTTCGAAACCGCCCTACCCAAATCTGAAATGATCTCCGGAAATTTACGTCCATACAATATAATATACGAGTCAGTGTCATTCCCATTTTTCGTTCCATCCTATCCACCCCCTCCTAATGCCATTACTTCATAATCCAACCCATTAATATTTATAGCAGATATCTTTACAGATCTAATATTTACAAGATTAAATCTATCTAAAATTACATATTATCTAATAAACCTAATCCACGTGGCATGGTACCAAGAACGCTACCTGCATTTCTGATAGCCTGAATAGTTATGCTTATTTTTATATTTATATTTTTATATCATGTGGTTTCTGTTTTTGGTAAATTGAACAACATTCAGGCACTCTACAACTTACAACTTCATATTCGTTGTTGAAATGCAAAGCTTGTCTTGAACGAGTTATGACAAGTTTTGCAGCAGAGTTTTCCTAAATCCTGGTAACTACTATGTGAGATAGAGGCGAGTGAGCAGGCGGTTCAGTTTATGCTAACTGTAACATAACCACCACCCATGGGCATCTGAAACACCAGATCCACCTTTCCAGTCCACGGCCCTACCTTTTACTTTTTTTCTTTTATGCTTCATCGTCACCCCAACTCATTCCATCCCATCCTATCCCATCCCATGCCATTCGAATTGCCGTGCAGGCAGCCTTGTCCTGGGAACGAGGCAGCGTTGCTCCAGGACGTGCCTGTGTGAGTCACGGCTTTTCCCCTCCCACATCAGGTCGTGCTCGAGGTCGAGGTCGAGGCCCCACTCGGTCAGCAGCTACCGCGGTCACAGGGCCGAAGAGAAGGTCCCGCGCCGCGGCAGGCGACTCCAGAGGCGTTGCCCTAGCTGCCGCAACGAGTGAACGCACTAGAGGATTTGAAGGATTGGGGGAGGGGGCGAAAAAGCAGAAGGGATGCCCTGAGAAACAACAGCTAGGGATTTGGTCGGAAGAAAAACGGTTTTATCGGTTCCAACGATTGTGATATTTTCATCTGTGACTGTTCGAAATAAATCAATAAAAATTATACCTTGCTCCATGTCATAAAAGCGATAAATCATCGTGTATTAGCTTGTTTTCATCGTGTATTAGTATTAGTTTGTTTTCTTGTACCCTGTTGTGAATTGTCATACGGTAACTTAACATTAGTCGTGACACAGAGGTTCGACTGTAGTTTACCATCGGAGGTACAGATAGTGTTTGGGTTTCTTGCTTGGAGAATTTCATACAACCATAGTGATGGTAATGGCGATGTAGTCTTACAAGTATAACGCACTACCACCACAACCCTCTGCTGTTGCCTTTGTTAGATTCTCTTGGGTCGTACCTACGCCGATAAAAAGGAACGTTAGAACGTAACAATATTATTTACATAGATACGTGTACTCAATATTGGGCAATTATAATCACTCAATCCTCATAAAGGAAAGAAAGAAAGGAACGTTCATTCACGGTCTAATCACAATAGGTACATAAAAATTAATGGAACTACACTATGTAAAATAATATTGCACAAATTTAAATAAATGTAATGTTGGATCCGAGGTGGAATATTAGTTAAAAAACCGACCAAGCGCGAGTCGGTCTAGCGCACGAAGTGTTCCGTACTATTTATCTATAAATACGTCAAAAAAAAAGTGCTGTATGGGAGCCCCACTTAAATATTTTTTATTCTGTTTTTTAGTATTTGTTATAGCGGCAACAGAAATACATTATCTTGAATGTCTGGTAACGCAGCCTCGGCTTCGGCGAAGAAGCTGCGAAGTACTAGCTTACATATCTTCATCATCATCATTGATGTCGGCATCTTTAAGGACACGACTTAAATATGCATATTCGTTGTATATAGTCATAAAACTCCTAACACGTTGCAAAGTTTCATAATATTCCAAAACATACAATACCTAGTCTATAAGTTTTCGTGAAAGTCCAAGACTATTTAGACGTTCTGTTGTCGTAACTGTCTTGGTAAGCTTGGGTACGCTGCTATAAGCTAGCAGTCTGGCTTCGGTGTAACTCACGCTGTGACTCTCGGTTTGGTGGAGTCTTCAAGCGCCACATTGCTAATAAGGCTCGTAACTACTGGAAACGTTGTGTAAAATTTAGAGGTCTGCGACTGTTAGTTAGTCTTCTGCTTGGCGACATGAAGTACCCATTAGCTGCAACTTCCACAGCGTTATAATTTCCTGTTTCACGGACTCCTGTTCAGAACCGTACATATAGCGATACATTACACTTTCTTTTGCATAACCCAGAACCCTTAATACGTCGTGAGCCGTGACAGCCGAGAGTACAGCCGTACCGCCGTCACAGCCGTACCGCCGCCGTCGCCGATACCTCACGCAGTGTCCCGGCGCTCGCCTTTAATTCAAATTACTCGAGCAACCTGAATTCGATCCCCGGTGCCAGCACCAATGAAATTGTTAATTTTAAGTGATGGCTTATCAAGTGCTCGGCGGTGAAGGAAAACATGCAGGCCAGTTCTGAATTAAAAAAAAATATTTATAATTTTTTTAATAATATTTTTTTATTAGGGGGTTTTAGGGGTTTTTGGCTTTAACTTTAGGGACAAATATTTTCGAGAGTTGGTAACACTGCATTTAAAGTCAAAAAAGCATTCAAAAAGTTTTGTATTCGGTTAACCTAAAAACGGAACAACAACAACAATTTGTGTGTATATCGTAGTAATTACGTCGCTTCCTGGCCTTGTTCTGGTTTCATCTGTATTTAAATTATTAGAATGTAAGTAAACACTTTCTTTTCAATTAAGCACGAATTCGTTTATAGAAATTTGTTTTCCTACTAGATATTAGAAGTAATAAGAGTATTGTCGAATGGCAGTCTAGTTATATTGTTACATAAAATAAAATTCTGTCATCAACAATCATTGTTTGTTAACATTTAAAGCAAAGATTATTTCGTAGCGACCATATCCTGTGTATTGATATATTCAATTTACGGATAAACTTTCAGGTTTTTATTTTAAAAATTATTTATAAAAACAAATTTTTTTTTTTCAGGGATGACGAAGTCTATGACAATGTACCATTTGTATTAAAGCACTTCTTCCGAGACGTCAAAAATATTCCTGGAAGCGACAGCATTGTATCTGCAGTTTGCAAGAAGTGTTCAAAAAGGATAAACGGTGGTTTAAATTCCACATCCACGTTTTTATCCCATTTGACGGTAAGGCCCTGTTTCTTGTTTCATGTTTTTTATTAAGTTCCAAAATTAATGTACATTCCCAAAGGGGATTCTTTTTAGTTTATTTTAGAAAAAAAAAGTATTAATTTATACTTAAGTGTAACAAAAGTAAAATAATTATACAAAATTTTATCCCCTGTACCAGTGCTCCTTGTTATACTATGATACTGTGAAGTTGGTTGCTTTGCAACAAACTTTATCTTGTTGCTTTTTAAGGGTCGGTGTGTGCTCATATCGTCAAAATTTAATATAATGATTTTTTCCAAAAGCACCAAAAGAAGTTACTTCTATTCACATATTGGTGAAAACATGTTAGCGTGAAAACATATTTTTAGCATATGACTAAGTTCATAGTGCCAATATAATTTATTATATGAAGTGTATTTATTTTTCATTGTAAGAATTGTGTCAAGACTTGAGACTATATTTAGGTAAGTATTATGAAATGGGTAAAATTAATTTATTCAGTTAATTTAAACATCTTATCTACACTCATAAGAATATCTTTGTCATAATTTAAATAATATTTTTGCAAGTTACCATGAATATGAATATTTGGTTTAACCGGTCAGGGAATGGTCTTGCTCGAAAAGCGATTGTTCGCCCGTGGAAAAACGTGGTCTTTGAGCCTGTTTTGTTTCCGCCGTAAAGTTTCCCAGGACAATAAGGAGGCCGTAACTATAGAGGGCTGATTGGCCGGTCATAACAATGCCTAAAAAAAGGTTGTATATGTACCTCCGCTTATATAGCGATAATATTGTAATTGTTCCGTAGTGGATTAATAGGCACTTGCGGTTGTTATGGCTGGAAGTCACAATACATAATTATGATTGCATTAAAAATAATTGCTGATATTTCAACTTTTTTTGCATAGCCTCCGAGGTAAACCATTTTCTTTTCTTTGCTCAACTTCATCACTATTGCTTTACGACGTAAGATGTGACAAGAGCCGTGATAGCTTAGTGTCCGGGTCCTCGCTTTTTTTTTTTGGGCTGGATGAGCCACTGTTTGCCTTAGGGGCCTTCACAGTTCCGACGGGCTTGAGGTGGCCTGGCGCACGGGGCGCCTTGCCTGAACCTCAGCGTATTATTATTACGCGTTATGGTGACTAAGCTCGAGGGCTCAAGAGGGCCTCGGCTCGGGCTGTCACGCTATTATTATCACCGGCTCTTAGGGCGCTTTGGCGGGCGCTCCATGGAGTGATCAGGCTCAAGGGTCCCCGAGAGGGGGACCTCGGCGTTTCACTCAACACGCGTTTAGCATTCCGATTCGAGGGTGCCCGAGAGGGCCGGACCTCGGCTCGATCGGTAGCTATTATCTGTCTGGGTGGGCGCTCGCCTTTAATTCAATATACTCGAGCAACCTGGGTTCAATCCGCGGTGCCGGCACCAATGAAATTGTTAACCGCCACAGCTTTGCCCAGCAGTGGGATATGTCGAGGCCCGTGATTCTCAACCACTGTGCCGCGGCACTTTTGTGTGCCGCCAAATTTCAAAAGTGTGCCGTCAAATTTTGCAAATATATATTAATGTTAATATTATTAAATTATATAATTTAAAAAGAAAACTATTTTTTGGCATTAGCCAACATTAAAACTAAAAAAAGATCAAGATTGTTAAATGTAGAAGACGATATGAGAGTAGCATTGTCATTTTTACGACCAAATATAAATGAAATTATCAAAAAACATCAAGCTCAAATTTCGCATTAAAATATTTTTATTATTAGCTTGTAATTAATCCCTTAATAAACGTTTAGTTATTATTGTAATATATATTAGTATATTTCGTATATTTAAAATTTTTATCATAAACTATTTATGCAGTGTGTTGTAGTAAGTAAATAATTTTTATCTTTTTCTTTGTGTGCCGCCAAATTTTGAAATGTTTTATGCGCCAAACATTGCTACAAATGCTAAAAAAACAATGTAGATAAAAGACGTTAAGATTTTCGTCGCTGTGGCAATTAGCCGTTTAGCTCAGTGGCTAGAGCGTCAGGCCGCGAATGCCGAAGACGTGGGTTCGGTTCCCACAGCGGCGACAATCTTTTTGTACTTTTTCTACAAATTTTAATAGATAGAGTAATTAAAGCGGAATGTTCATATGCAGTATACATGCAAAAGTAAGATTTGTAATGTGATGCCGTAAGAAACATGTTTTTGTGTGCTTACACTGTCTAAACCTTACAAAATAGATCAATTAATGGATAGATTAGATGTGTAGATACTAATACTGATGCTTGAATAGCTTTAATAGCGTATGTATCTACATTTAATGGTATGTATCTACATTGCATCTTGTCATTGGACTCTGCCCCTTGTATCTTGTATTAATTGATGTTAACGCGTTCAGTCCCGAGACTATTAAAGCTTCATCGACCGCAGAACCGGTGGGCTAACCAATACCCCCACTGGTTTGAGGCCCTCCACAGTGGGTAGGACCGCGCATATGCACGTGCGTGCGTTGGCTAAGGGCTTTCGCCTGCGGGGTATCGGGGTTCGGTGCGGACCGTAACCCCGACAGCCGTTGTGCTCGGTTAGTCGGTGGCTGGGGGCGGTGAGAACCGCCCTGGAACGCGGTTGTACCTAATGTACGCGTTGTGTTGGTTTTCGCCGTGCTCGAAGGTGAGGTCGAACTATAGTGTTCGCTGTTGCACTAACTGTAGACTCTCAGTTATAATCCACGCATAATAACTATTTTGGAAGACTAATATTTAATTAGATTTATTTCAGTTTTCATAATGCCGACGACAAATGTGAGAGAGATATAATGTCGCGAATGTAATCGGGCAGAAAAAAGAAGAATGACAGCAGAACGTGTTCGTGAAGTCGTTTAAATCGTCTGGACTTCTACACAACGTTTCTGGAACTGGCCACATATATAAGCAATATTTAAAAAGTATTTACAACATTTGAAAATGGAACCCTTTTGATGTAGAATGCAGTTTGTATCATCTGATTGTCAATTGTTTTCACATTGTGGCGCCATTTTAAATATTGCGTGGTCTACATTAACTTGGATTTAACTCGGACAAAATTTTTGTGGTATGATTTTTTACGGTTTTAAGTGTAATTTGACAGTTCAGCAGAGCTTCGCTCGTCTTCAATCTGCTTTTGGCGATGAAGCATCATGTCAGACTACTAATAGCTGTATTGCGAAATTCAAGCGCGGTCAATCTCGGGGACGAATCTCGCGATGGTCGCCCGGTCCACCGCTGTGAACAACAAAAACAACGATGCTGTGCGACGTAGGATCGAAACAGACAGACATGTGACCTACCATGGGATTCTGGCATCCTTAGACGAATACAATCAATCCTACACAAACATCGTGAGAAAGGTATGCTCGCGGTGGATCCCACACAATTTGACTGAGGCTCAAAAAGCGGACCGCGTCACTTGGTTTAATGCCATGCTTACCAGATATAATGAATGGTCGTCAAATTTGGTGTGGGACATAGTAACGGGTGGTGAAGCGTGGATTTATTGCTAGAATCCCAGAACAAAGCAGTAATCGCGCGTATGGGTATTTCAAAACGAGCCGAAACCAACCAATCGGCGCGCGCAAAAATTGCATCTTAGCGGATGATTCCTTCTTTTTTTAATAAAACTGGAATAGTGGCTATGGTTGCTTTAGAGAATCGTCGTGCCGTGAATAGTGACTGGTACACGGCCATTTGTTTGCCGTAAGTTATTGACGAACTGCGTAAAAATAACCCTAAACGCCGTATCGTCCGCATCACGACAATGCTAGTTCCCAAACGGCCAGACAGACAAACGATTTTTGAAGGTGAAAAACGTAGAACTCATGAGCCATCCTGCATGCACTCCCGACCAGGCACCTTATGACATGTTCTGTTCCCAAAAATTAGAACCAATTACGCCTTCAACAATTTTCATCACCAGAAGACGTTGTCGAAGAGTATGAATCACCGCGAAGGAGTGACACTAATGTTTTCAAAATTGGAAGATTATTTGAAAAAACAATAAATTAATTATTGACTTTATATAGTATTTTTTTCCTTTTTTAAAGAAAAAAAATACTATTATATCGTATTTTTTTCAAAGAAAAAAAATACTATTATATAGTATTTTTTTCTTTTTCATACCGGAAAGTTAGTGCCCCCCACGTATGATTACCAATTGTAAATTGAAAAAAGAGGTCCCAAGAAAATCTTGAATATATCAGTAAAGTATTAGTGAGGACTATTTTACTCAATATTTATTAGAGATATCAATAGTGAAAGATACCTATTTTCCTAACAATTTATTTATGTTATATAAGTACTATAATAATCATGTGAAGATATATTAAAATCGCTGAAAATTTTATTACTTATAAATTTTATGTAACATGATTAACATAATTAAGCATAATATTTTATAAGCTCAATATCAATATGCCTTCACTTTTTCATTTTTCATCAAAACTGGTAACTAAAATTGTAATAAAATCAGATAGATAATAAAATTAATTATTATATATTATTAATTATTATAATTGCATTCCGTGCTTCAAGTGATAAATTATGAATTTTATTTTTGCAGGCAAAAGGGCATGGTGACTTGTTATCAGAATATATGAAACTCAAACCTCAATCGCCAGTGGCTAAGGAGACCGTTGAGGATGATGGTAAGTAGGGTACAGATTATAAATAAAATAAGGAGACAAACACTTACGCACATTTTTAGCGGTATTTCACAAAAGATTGTAAATCTGGCAAGATTTATAATAATCAATTAACACGATGTTAAGTAATAACACGATATAACAGTGATAAAAAATTATAGTACAAAAATAAACTCATAAGAGTTTAACAGTGTAACTGTATTATCAATCATCTATACATAGTTACTACCATAAATCACAAATTAGCATTACTTGTTATTTCACAAATTACCATTACTGCTAGCGCCACACAAACTAGCGGCAGTCGAGAGGAAGTACTGTGCTCAGTGACCTATGGCCCTAGTGCGATCTATTCTGCGGGACTGTAATATCTGCGCTGTGTCGACTTGCCCGGGTTCTCTTAGGTTGGCGAGGTTGCAGGAGGACTGTTGCGGTAAGTCGCCTAAACCCAGTAGAATATCGTACAGTGGTAATTTGTGATTTATGGTATGTTCATTCTACATTTCATTTAACATTGAAAATATATATAGTAAAAATTAAGTCCTAGAGATTGCATTCAATATATTTAGCCACTTCCATTAACATAAAAGCTGTGCGTGCTCTGAGGCTGTTAAAAAAAATGGATGTCACAAATGCTTTATGAAATCTCTAAATTGTATCTGAAAGCAGGCTGCTGCTATACGCCGTATGTAATAGATACCATCAACAGATCGGCCTTTAGAGCAGATAAATATAGAGCAGATAAATATTTTTCACGTGGCTCCCCATCTAATGTCAATAATAAAATAATACATATAATAAAAAAAATAATACATTTAGACAAAAATAGTGCCCGGACAGTACTTGGTCATTTATTCTGTAAAATCTCGTTTTATTCGTTAATACTGCTCAATAAATAATAAAAAATATTTAAAGTCATTAGAGTCATTTTAAGGTCAGGCAAAAACTTAAGAAATGCCGTATACTTATATCTTACTTTTTCTTTACTTTACAAAATATTTTTAGAAATAATTCTATATCGGTAAAATTAATAACCAAAACCTGTCCTAAATGCAAAATTAGATCCGAATCATTTGAACCTCTTCAGAGTAGACATTTATATAATATAGGTATATGTTTATAATTATAAAAAAATAATTAAATTCAATTATCAAGAGAAATATTCAAATGGCAAATTTTGTGTATGTGTTTTGTGATTTACATCAACGGGGGACTTCACATATCTTCGAAATATATTTTTTTACACACGTTTATTTTTACATAGTTTTTTTGCACTACGTATATTTTTTAAATTACCATTTCACATTTTCGTTTCAGAGGGGCCAATCCTGAACCTGCTAAAGTGTCTCATAACCAATGACTACAAACAGAACACAATGCTAACCAATTTCCAGTTAATAAATATTCTGCACAAGGAATTCTGTATAGACGTGAAGAACATCCACGAATTGGAAGTGGAGATATATCTGAACGTCGTCAAGAAATACCTGAAGGACTGGCCGGAATGGGAACTCTTCGAGCAGGCGGTGAGCGATATCAAAACGATGGAAGACGACGACGACGATGCAATGAGGATTCTGTTGCAGGAGAAATACAGGAGCCTCAAGGAGTACTTGTCCAGCAAGCTGGACTTAGCGCAGATATTTGCTCAGGAGGTCATCAGCAAAGTGCCGGATGGAGAGAAGACGAGCTCAAATGAACGCGGCGTCGTAATGGAGGTGAAGGCGACGAGGCAGCAGTTGAACAATCTGATCCTAAGACGCCCGATAGGGAACAACGCCATATTCAACCTCTACGAGCCTGATGTCGAAATACGGCAGCCAAACGAACTGTCGTTGCAGTCGATACTGAACAGTTGCGGCATCTCCGTCGAAATTAGAATGAGGGACTCGCAAAACGAGACCTTCATCTTGAAATATGAGAACCAGCATCAGACTAGTCATAATCTGGTCAACAGGAAGCTGAAAATTCCACACCAATTCAAGGAACTGAACCAAGAATGGCAGATCAAATGTAAGAAAATGAAAAAGGCGGTCGAACTGCCCAAGGCGAAAGTCCTCGACCTCCTCGAGTCAGGCATTTCGAACACGGAGAAGGAGGAGTGGAAGCATTTGCTTATCTGCATGTATCAAATCTTGAATGTTCTCATGGGCGACATGCCACTAGAGATATACTCACCGGCGATGTACAGGAAATATTTGAGCAGATACAGCTTCGTCCGATACTTATACCGCGAACCGGAAGACGAAGAGGCGCCTGCGGAAGGCAAATACGACATACAGCTGGAGGAGGTGATCTCGCCGATGTGCCTGATCGACTTAAACCACTTGCCGAAGGCCGAGAGCGAGGACTACTTCAAGGTGCGCTGCAACAGCTGCAACCTAGTTGCGACGGGGCCGCGCCTGGTGACGGAGCTCCAAGAGCACTTCGTCAACCGCCATATAGCCGAGCCGGACTGGTGCTGCGCGAGCTGCAAGCAGAGCGTCGCCGCGGCGAAGCTCGCGAGCTCGAACTGGCAACACCGATGCCCGGACGGCGATAAAGCCAAGACCAAGCTGCACAAATCATAGCACCCGGCGAGCTGCGTTCCTATTTCGAATGCACCGAGGAAACTTGGTGTGTTGTTTTATGGTGGCATTGGTGTGTTGAGGTGGAAAGCGAGGTCACCTTATGCTAGGACAGTGATCATCGTCGGTTAAATCCGAAACGGATGCGTTGCTATTATAATAGATTTCTTTCCACCAGAACGGATGGATGACTATGTGACTATGTCCTAGCACCCGGTCCGGCATATATGGTGCTGTGCCATTGCAAATAGGGATGTACCCCTCACGAGTCCCTTATTGAGCGATAGACACAGCTATGCTTGCATCCCTATCAAGACGGTAGGTTGCCGAGGCCAGACCCTGGTCTCCGTCGTTGGATATGTATGGTGGCAGATGTCTTCCTTAGATATACCGTGGACTTCTTCCTCGTCATAAACTCCAAAAAATATAGATTTAATAAAGTCTAAAAAAAATCTTATTAATCTTAAAAAATATATATTTAATAAAGTCTTAGAAGTGCCCTGGTTATTCCTGCAATAGCCAAAGTGGCTGCATGGTAGGCTGCTGTCAATGGCTGACATCGCAATATCGAATTACGGGCTTAAATAATAATGAATACAACGCTATCTAAGGAGACAAATTAACTATATTAATTTTCCTTTACTTAAAGACTGCACCGAAGGGAAATCCAGATTGCGCTACGATAGGATGCATTTTTAACGTGGTTAAATTACATGACTATCTTCTCGTCTGACTATTTCTGTCGAACTATCCCTCGGTTTTGACTAACGGTTCGACGGCCGACCGACGGATATGGAGTGTAGAGATAGGACAATTTTTCATAGGGATAAGTTATTTAAAATAAAATAAAGTTATTTAAGGAATATATATATCGATATTTAAAATAAAAAATATCGATATTTTTCGACATCCCTACTACCTTGTACCAAATTGCTACCATAGCGCCACCAATTTAATGCTTTTCAACGGATACGTTACACAGAGATTTATGCCCACGGAGTTGACATAAACCGTGGTATGAACTAAATAAAATTAAAACAAAATAAAGATAATGGGTACATTTTATTGACAGAATAGAAATAAACACAAATAGTCAACCGAGATGATTTTCTTCTGGCCCGTATTCCGCGATAGTCGTCTTAACAACAATATGGTTGTAATTTTGTAAATACTATGTAACAGTAAAGCAGAAAAACAATATTTTTACTGTACTAACCTATATTACCGTACTGATTAACTGTTTTCCTGTTCTGTAGTATGTAATCTGGTTTAAATAGGACTTATATTACAAGAATTTGATAATCTCTCTCAAATGTGATATAATCAGTAACAAAATTATATTTTATTTTTCTTACTTTATTTGAAGCTCCTAGAAATTTTTAAGTTTGTGTTGGATGAACCTGTTATCTCAAAATTCACTGGTAAAACTACCTTATAAGACGTATTGAATATCACCAAAATTAATAATATAATATTATTAAACATTATTGATAAAATTACAGCCATGAATCATAGAGTCCCTGAATCCTGATTAAACCTGTATTTCAGGAATCAGATCGCTTCCAATTTGAAATAATAATATTACCAATAAAGTTACTGCAGATTACATATCACAATTATTTAGAGGTGTGCGCTCGCTGTATGTATTCGTCTTCGTGCGTGCGTTTGTTTGTTAACATGAGTACGTGCACAGAACTAATACTGGCACGAGAGTATGGTACGCTCAAGCAATACGAGATCTCATAGACAAATTATACTACAACGAACTAACAGCATACATAAATCTCTCATTTATAGTTTTATTATCTTATTCATTAATAATGTTTGTTTATAATTAAAAGATGGAAGTCAATTCTTAATTTTTGCCTTACATTTGAAATAACATTTCTTAGAATGCAACTTTCCCTACAATGTTTTCCATAACTGCTGAGCATGTCTTGGTGATTGCAATCAACGGTAAAACTCCAGGTAATCATTTCATTGGTGCAGGAGATACTCAGTGTAGGTTTTAACTCGGTCCGAGATTATAAGGTTTACAGACTTCGCTTCGGCACCCGGGGTCGTGGGTTCGATTCTTACACGGAACAAGTATTTGTATGACCCACTATATATTATTTATAATTATTCCGGATCTGGTTGTTTCTCAAGAACAACCCTTCTTGTGAAACACCCGTCTGGCTGGCGGCGGGTCGTATAAATATAAAACCATAAAAAAATTCTGGAGTTGGATACTGTGAGTATTCTGACATGTGAGTCCTATTTTGATTTTTGTAAATTTGTAAGATTCAAATTGGGATTTTTTTCGTCGATAAAAAAAGTTATTTTACAGTGGGATGCTTCATTTGTTTTGGGCTCATTTTACATTTCTTAGTTTTTAAAAAAATGGTAAAACAATATAAATATAATTTTGAAATTTAGTTGAGAGTCGTTATTCACAGATTTGACCCGTTTGTCGTCCTAGACATATGAAAGATTGCCGCGACCCTACTTACCGTAAATCAGAAGAAATTAGACGTAGTAAAATAAAAAACAACGAAAGTCAGTAAATGATATCATGAAGCCGAAGAATGGTAGCTACTCATCAGGCCCGTTTAATTTATTATAATTTTTACGGAATATCGCCTACGCGAAAGACGCGACTACTAAAAAAACTCCCACTTAGTTTTGCCGCCTTAGGCCCCGGGTCCCTATATGGTAAGGAAATCCGCCACTGAGGATCGGTTTTTAGTATTTTGGATGGGTTTTATCCAAAATCATTTATATTATTTTCTTAATCTGAGCATGAATGAGGATTCAATTGCTACTACAAAATGTCATGCGATTTCCCCTCCTTTGAATTAGAAAACACCATACCACGACATTGTTTAATTAAGATTAGTAGATTCAATTTTAAGTTTTAATAATTTCCCACTTATAAAAACCTAATATACACCTTGTTTAAATGATAAGTACAAGGACAGTGTTTTTTTTACTAAATCATGTATTTTTGAAATTACATGACAAATTACTTAGTAATGAAACATGCATAATATTTTTCGATCTTACCGACGTAATAATAAGAGAATATGAACGGGTGTTTCACAAAAGAAAGAACTTTAAAAAAAAGGGAGAAAAGAACAAAATCATCTAGATGGACAAAAAATAAAGAAAGCAATGATCTGGAATCGAAAAAAAAGTAAAAAAATAAGTATGTAAATGATCATGACACGAACCACGGCCTTCTGTTTCGGGGCCGCCCGATTACCGACCGAGCTATAATAACATTTTTCGGCGAAATTTACCGTGATATTCGAATGATTCATTCCCTGAAAATAGGGATAAAACGACATTCAAAAAATGAAACCTAGCCTAGATCGATTTTTTGCCCCCCAATCTACGCACTAAATTTCATGAAAATCGCTGGAGCCGTTTCCGAGATTCCGATTATATATCTGTGCCTCCTGTGATCAGTGATACAACTCGAGTTGTACCCTTTTCTGATTTTAACACATAAGCAATCAGTAAAAAATAAGCTAGCTTTGGGTCTGACTCACGTGTTTCTATCTGCTATAGATCTCGAGATAATTTTGTGCAAAGTGATATAACTAATGGGATTTTGGATGAAAAAATTGTGAATTTTGATTTTAGTCGTGATATACCACCAGTAAAGTATCACTCCACACATTTCTTTTCGTACTTTGTTGTATAACTACTATAATATCAATTTTCACATTTGATTTTCTAATGATATTTCGTGAATAATAATTTTATTCCAGTTACATCAACTTGAACCAAAGTTTATTTTGTTATTTGCAGGGTAAAACTTGACATGTACTTACCGATCTGAATATTAATTTCGCCTAATTATGTGCTGAATGATACATCTCAACATGCATCATTTCACACAATATCTATTCTTATCTGAACACTAAAATAAGTTGAATCTGAAATGCAAACATTTTCTAAAAAGTATTTACTACGAACTTTAGTGTAAAATGATACAAATTGAAACAAGGTGAGGGTGGCGGTTATGTGCGGGAGTGAAGTGACTAAGCCCACTTTATTAAAAGGTTGCAATGCATCTGCAACACTACAGGAGTTGCAAATATCCATGACCGGTGGCTATCACTTAACATAACGTGGACCTACAGCTCGCGTGCCACCTTCTCACATAAATAAACTATTTTGTAACACTGCCTCGAAATATACAACAACATCAGGAAAAACAAGAAGAACTCGTGACTTACGTGATCTAAACAGAAATGCAAAGAAAGACTACAGTTTCATTTAAGGAACACTCTGTTCAAAACATACTGGAGTCTTGGAATTTTAAAAAAAAGACGTCCAAATATCCGCTAAGAATACGCTAGATTTTTTCGATACTTCTTTCACGGGTTTGATCATAACAAAACACGCTATTTGTAAAGGATGTTTTTTGAAGACTTTTGACTAAAACCACAAGTATCTTCAGACTTTTTGCGAGAAACTTAGAAAAGTTAATACCTGATATCAATTACAATCCATCGAACATAAATTTCTAGTAACTAGCCATACTGACATGGAAGCAGACAGTGACCATGCGCTGATTGAGCATAAAAAGAAGCACACGGGCATAGATATTCACCTGCCAAGAAATTGGTAGATACTAGTCTGCACAGCTTCAAATAAATCTGCAAAGTTTACTGTGATAAAAATGACTATGAATATGTTTTACGACTTCGGTATTTTTTTAAACAATTCCTTCCCAAAACAACTACAGACATTAAAAAGTTTCTGTAGTCTAATGTCATATCGAGTATGTATCTTTAAGGCAACTTTCCCTGTATTTTTTACAAAAAAGGGCTCAATGACGGTGGAAACATGAATGAATTTATCGAAACGCGGAAAAGTGTACTACATGGTAGGAATTTATACGGTACCAAAAGCTTACCATTCCAAGATTCCCATTTCAACAGAAAAGAAGAAGGATCTAGTACAATTATTGTCCATGAAAGAGCTCATGAATTTCATAGAAATATAAA